AAGAATTGTTCAGACTGTCGAATAATATAACCATCGTGAAGAGCTAGGTGAAGATCTGTTCCATTCGTTGAACATTCACACATGAAATAAAGTCGAAACTGAGGTATTTTAGACTTGAAATCAGATTTTTTTTTATCAGGTAAAATAATAAATAAACGTGGTAGATGACTGTCAATTGATTCATAAGTTTGTTTAAGAAAATGTTGTAATGTCTCTTGTTTATCACAATTAACTCCGTCTAAAATACCAAATACTCTAGTCACGGCACTGATTCTCGCTAAGTGATGAACGTAATAAAAAAAAGTCACACGAAAGAGATTTCGATTTACTTTGCTCATTGCTTTGAAGAATGTGCTAAACAAATATAAAGCATTTTCGAAGAAAACAATTCCCACAGAAATAGCACTTTGAACAAAACTTTATGCCAAATAAACCTGATCTCTAATTGAAAAGGCTGAAAATTTGTCATTGGTTTTATATCCTCTTTTAAAACCGTTTCTGCGAAAACGGTGTTTCTGGAAAGTTTTCTGAAAAGTTCCTGCTGCATCCTTGGATAGATGTATTATTCATGAAATGCAAAAAAGGATCTAATCTACATGAATTCAGTCAGTGATCTTGTATTATGTCAAGCCATCATTTTTCACATTCTATAAAAGTTACATTTCACTTTTGTGCAACTGTGATAGATTTTACATAAATTCAGCATATGGTAGAAAATCAAATATTTCAAAAAAAATACAATTTTTCCTGATTTTCAAAAAGATTCGAAAAATATGACTTGGCACTTTTGCAGAGCAAGTTTTCCCTAGACAAAATCCTATGTACTTTCTCTCGATTTCCCACTAGGATCTTATTTTGATACGTTAATACTTTTTCTATCATCACATTTTCTTGTTAGGATCTGAATCGGATCCTAACAAAATCATGACCAATACTACGACTTTCGAGTATATTTGATTTCATTAAGATTCTATAGGATTTTGTTGGTATCTCTAGGATGCGGTCTAGTTTATGTGTTAAAAGTTCTGAAAAAAAAACGTATATTGAGAGAAACGCAGCTGTGAGCATGATGATCCTGCAACAACTGTCATTCAGAAGTAAAGTGACAACTATACTTCGTACTTGCGTCATTGTATAGCCCCATAAAAGGATGTATATACGGTAAAATTTCATGATTACCCTGTGAGTACGAGCGACGCGAATTCGCGTCTTGAGATTTCGTGAAATGAGTAGCTTTCGTAAATATTACGTAGTGATTATTCAATGAAATGAATGACCCAGTTTTGTCTGCTGATCTCAAATATGTTATTAGTTTTGCTGAAAAATATACGGGGAGTGAAAAGGGCGCAAAATAAGTGAAATAGCGAAGGTTAGAGGTGAGTGTATAATCTCTCTGACAAAAGCTTCACCTACGTTTTCCGAAGCCATAGGTTTTCATAATTATTTTTCCACGATTATGATGTACATTCAATGCAAATAATATAGTACAAACAGCGATCCTTAGTTCATCACTCACGCTCTTCTACGTCTGTTTCAATCGTGGGCGCTCGTCCTCAATGAATTTCCAGACCCACACGATAGTTAACATTCATAGTTTGGCTGGATAGTCTACAGACACTGTAGAGTCATCGGTGCGAATTTGAAGTTAAAACGATGCTCCTAAGCAGAATTGTGAATTTTTTCGTAAAGAACCTTGGTTCAAGAATAGGTGTATTTCACTGACTCTTAACAGCCAACTCACAAAATTCGTAGAGCCGTGGGTGCATTTTTGTAAAAAGAAAAAGTTTGCATTTCTCTCGGGTCAGGAGCTATTGATATTTTACGGAAAAGAAATAAATCCCTTATATCTCATGAACCACCCAGTAAAAGAGGCTCAAAGTTGGCAGGTGATTAGCATTTGGTAAGCGCTATGATCACACAAACCTAGAAGTCCGTGGTTCTTGAGTTACAGGGATGACGCCACTTTTGCGGAATTATTTTTTCAAAAATTAATCCCGTACCCAAAGGGATTTTATAGAGTAACTAGCTATGAAATTACACGCGCACCAAGTAGACCTATTTGAGTTCATCATCAAAAGACCTGAGGCAATCCGTAAGAGTTGAATATCTCACTGTCGATTTGATCATCAGAGCTGCGGTTCTCGCCAGAAAAAATAGAAATTAAATTTACAAGTTGTCTGCATGTTTAGGGCTTCATTAGGTGACAGTCGATTAAACACCATTGGGCGTCGGATATTCATAATGACTCTTAATGCTACTAGTCGCACGGTACAAGATCTCAGGTAGGTTCTAGCAAAACTGAGCCTTCCACCAAACGATTGCAAAGCAAAGTCTTGTACGACTCTTATTTTACAGAAGATACTTTAGACTATCTTCTACTGAGGCGAACAATCCTATCCATATGGGTTTTAAGTTTCTGAGCTATGCACTGGTTTTCTACAGATCCTTTACAAACCGGTTTCTAAAAAGAGGCTTTGAAATTTTCTCTCGTTTACAGAGATGTGGTTAAGTCTTGGCTATTGAATGGTGAAAAGGTCGCAGGCCGCTACCTACGTCAGTCAGCAGTTATTCAAGATATGGTTGCACAAATTGTCTGTTTTTGATGGACAGTAATCTTTTTTGTCAACTACATGAAGTTGTAGCAAATAAAAACATGTGATCGTTTGCATATTTAGAAAAAAGTATTTCTAAAAGCATTTGGAAAGAGGACAAAAGCCGGAAAATTCTAATCAATAACGCAAAATGATTGAATAAGTCACGCTCCTCACGGTGAAGCGTCACCAAGATGAAATGAGTATTTTGTTGCTGAAATAGAGCGACGACAATAAGCATGATATTTTGTGTGTCCTTGTCACATTGATTCTCTCTATACTTTCAACCAAAATTTATAAACATCATATCGCAGCAACAAATCACTATTAGGTATTGTATATTCAACGAGAAAACAAATTAGTGACATACGTTCAGGTCTTGGTGTCGTTGTGATTTGTTGTGGTGTTTGTTCATCAGAATAAGCTTGCAATGCATTCTACAAACAAAACAGAGTTCATTTTTTGTTTAAAAGCGTCAATAATTCTCTGATAGTTACCTCAACATTCCATTCATTTTTATTTAATATCGATACTGAATATTCTGTATTATAAATTTCAGCCAC